AGGTGATTGTCTCTCTCTACTCTGCGCTGGTGCGGCCTCACCTCGAGTACTCTGTGTAGTTTTGGGCACCACAGTATAAGAAAGATATAAAATTGTTACTGTCCAAAGGAGGGCTATGAAGATGGTGAAGGGCCTAGAGGGGAAGACATGAGGAGTGGCTGAAGTCACTTGGATTGTTCAGCCTGGAGAAGAGACTGAGGGGAGACCTCATCGTGGCCTACAGCTTCCTCATGAGGGGGAGCAGAAGGATGAGCACTGATCCCTTCTCTCTGGTGACAGTGATAGGACCCGAGGAAATGTCTTGAAGCTGTGACAGGGGAGATTTAGGCTGAATATCAAGAAAAGGTTCTTTACCAAGAGGGTGGTTGGGCACTGGAACAGGCTCCCCAGGAAACTGGTCACAGCAATGAGCCTGCTGGAGTTCAAGAAGCATTTGGGCAACACTTTCAGACGCATGATCTGTTTTTTTGTTGGTGGTGGTGGTGGTTTTTTTGGGTGGTCCTTTGGGGACCCAGGAGTTGTACTTGATGATCCTTGTGGTTCCCTTACAACTCAGGTATTTTATAATTCTATCAGCATGTTTTAATGAGATCAGCATTCCAAGTAGTCCCTAACAAGAACTGGATGTTTGTATCTCTGCTGCCATGCATTTTTCTATAAATATGAATTTTCTATTAAATTTTCTCCAAGCTGAAGACTTATATCTGATAGCAATCCTTCTTACCAACTTTTTGGTGCAAAGTTGGCCGTGGAATCCTATGCAAGTCTTACAAACTCTTTAAATACTTTGATACCAATGAGGAAGGAATGTGTTTTGGTTTTTTAAACAACAGAAAGGTCTTTGTGTTTTCCTGTCCCATGCTGCAGAAGCTAATAAATTAAATTATTTAAGAAATCAACAGAAAGAAGAGTGACAGTAGTGCCATGAAGGTAGTAATTAGCACTGGTCACCTCATCATTATAGACCTGACCAGGAGGAAGCTGTGCTAATTGCTGACCTAGGTATCAGTAGCTCTAGGGATTAGCTTCTATTCAGATGAAGCGAGTTTCTAACTAAACTCCCAAATAGTTATATTTTACTACCGAGGAGATTATCGATTCACTTTTAGGAGTAGCTTTTCTCTTTTATATTCTCATCAGACTGCCTCATGCATTCTTTGTAGTTTCACTGGTCACTATTCATTGAGGACTACTTGTGATGCGTTGCCGCTTCCTCATCCATCTTTGAATCAGCTGTTTGATTATACTTAAAAAGCAAACAAACAAAAAACACCTACTTTGGAAATTTACAGCTAAGTAAAGCATCCAATTTCCAGACATGCCTTAGGTCATAGGCTTGAATACCTTGGGTGGATATCACAATGCTTCCATGCCTTGGGAACTACAGTTTTGAATCATATGCTTTTAAGAATCATCTTTAACTTTGGAACTTGGGGTTTCCCCTTGTCCTGGTTTTGGCTAGGATAGAGTTAATTTTCCTCCTAGTAGCTGCTAGGGTTCTGTGTTTGGGATTTAGGATGAGAATAATGTTGATAACACACTGATGTTTTAGTTGTTGCAAAGCAGTGCTTACACCAAGCCAAGGACTTTTCAGCTTCTCACACTGTCCTGCCAGTGGGCAGGCTGAGGGTGCAGCAGGAGCTGGGCTGGCCAGGGTGGGGGGAACGCTGTTCGGGGATAGGCTGGGCATTGGTCAGCGGGTGGCGGGCAATTGTGCAACTTATTATTATTGTTATTATTGTTATTGTTATTATTATTATTATTATTATTGTTGTTGTTGTTGTTGTTATTATTATTTTCCTGTCTTATTAAACTGTCTTTATCTCAACTCACGGGCTTCACTTTCCATTTCTCTCCCCCGTCCCAGAGAGGGAGGGGGAGGGTGAGCGAACGGCTGCGTGGTGTTTAGCTGCCGGCCGGGTTAAACCACGACAAGACTCTGCGTGGCAACTCTAAGACAAGAGGCTCCAAGGTGCAACTGTTGTGAGAAGGAGGCTTAGTACCTCATGCTTCCACAGTTGATTTTTGCCTTCTATAGGAGTCTTGTGTTTTCTTCTTGATCACTTGCTGAGGTGATTGGCTCCAGGACAGACATGTCCTGCAGTGGAGCAGGGGATCGCAGCATGCAGGGGGTGTTCTGCTTCTAGGCAGCCCTCATGAGGGCAGCTGGCAAGGCTTGAGCAGAGCCAGAAGCACACCCCGTCCCCCCGTCCCCCCCGCCATACAAAGACTCCCCTAGAGAGCACAATCGAGCAGAAGCGCAGTTAGCAGGGCATCAGGCGGCAGTTTGTGCAGGGAGGGCACAAACTCCCTCCCCACTCAGGAGACTGGCTCACCTATCGACTGCCTCCCAGATGGCAAACCGAGCCATAGTCTCCACCAGTGTCTCCACGAGCATCTTTTTGGTATTCGCCAAAAGACTGTGGCAACCCAGACTGCCTGCCTGCCCATACATGCAGCTGTTCAGGTCTCTGGCTGCAAGGAGTGCCTGAGCCTTTTGCTACCAACAGAGGGTGATGGAGATACTGCCTGTGTGATGTGCGAGCAGGTGGAGGATCTGATCAGCCTGGTGAGATCAGCCTGAGAGAAAGGCACTGGGGCGATACATCCCAAATAGTGATGGACCCCCTGCCCTGTTGCTGTTGGGCAGAGGGAGGGGACCTGGGATGGAGAGGAATGGAAACAGGTCTCTGCTCAGCGTCACAAGCGAGCCCCCTCCCTACCTGCCTTGCCTCCCCAGGTGCCCTTCCACAATAGGTTTGAGGTCCTGGAGCTTGAGGGACAGGGTGATGAGGATGTGAGGGAAGGTCCACACAGGAGGCTGTCTAGGGCAAAGAAGTCGACTCCATGCCTCAAAACTTCCTCCACCAAGAAGGAAAGAAGGGTCATTGTTGTAGGTGACTCCCTTCTGAGGGGAACAGAAGGCCCCATATGTTGGCTGGAACCTACCCTTAACTCTGCTGCCTACATGGGGCCCGGGTCAGGGACACTACCAGGAAACTTACTGGCCTTGTTTGCCCTTCTGATTATTACCCCTTAGTGATAATTCATCCTGGCAGCGATGAAATTGCTGAGAGAAGCCTGAAGGAGTGGATTAGGGGAGGTTAGTGGATGGAGTTGGGAGCTCAGGTGGTGTTTTCCTCTTATCCCTTCAGTGGTGGGGAGGGATACTGAGAGGACCTGGAAAGCCCAGATGATCAATACGTGGCTGAAAGGCTGGTGCCATGGCAGGATTTTTTTTTTTTAATTTTTTTTTCTGTCTATGGGGAGGTTTACTTGGCACCTAGCCTGATGGCTGCTGATGGATCCCACCTGTCTCAAAGAGGGAAACTGATCCTAGCCCAGGAACTGTCAGGGCTTGTTGAGAGGGATTTAAACTAGATAAGAAGGGGGATGGGGAGGAAATGAGGCTCGATAGAGATGAGCCTGGGGGAGCAGTCCCAGGGCTGGGGGTGAGGGTAATGATGCAACAGAAGTGCATCTACAGCAATGCATGCAGCATAGACAACAAACAGGAAGAGCTGGAAGCCATTGTGTGGCAGGAAAACTATGACCTAGTTGCCATCACTGAAACATGGTGGGACCACTCCCATGACTGGAGTGCTGCAATGGATGGCTACAAGCTCTTCAGAAGGGGCAGGCAACTAAGGAGGGGAGGTGGCATGGCTTTCTATATTAGAGAGTATTTCGATGTTGTTGAGCTCAGAGCTGGGAATGATAACGTAGAGTCCCTATGGATAAGGATCAGGGGGATGGCCACCAAGGCAGACATCCTGGTGGGGGGTTGTTATAGACCGCTGAACCAGGATGAAGAGATAGATGAGATATTCTATAAGAAGCTGGTGGAAGTTGCGCGATTGCCAGCGCTTGTTCTCATGGGGGACTTTAACTTCCCGGACATATGCTGGAAATACAACACAGCCTTGAGGAAGCAGTCTAGGAGGTTCCTGGAATGCATGGAAGACAGCTTCTTGACTCAGCTGGTTAGTGAGCCTACCAGAGGGGGCGCCCCACAAGACTTGCTGTTCATAAACAGAGAAGGACTGGTAGGAGATATGGTGGTTGGTCGGGAGCTGTCTTGGGCAGAGTGTCCATGAAATGTTTCTCTATTCTTGGTGAAGTCAGGAGGGGGAGTAAGTAAAACTGCTACCTTGGACTTCCGGAGGGCAGACTTTGAACTGTTCAGGAGGCTGGTAGGGAGGGTCCCTTGGGAGTCAGTCCTGAAGGGCAGAGGGGTCCAGGAAGGCTGGACGCTCTTCAGAAAGGAAGTCTTAAAGGCTCAGGAGTGAGCTGTCCCTGTATGCTGTAAGATGAGCCAGCAGGGAAGAAGACCCATGTGACTGAACAGGGAACTTTTGCTGAGTCTGTGGGAGAAAAAGTGGGGAAAAAAAAGTTTTTATAAATATATTAATGGCAAGAGGAGGGCCAAGGAGAATCTCCATCCTTTCCTGGATGCAGGGGGGTGTTGAGGGATTTCTTGAAAGAGCAAAAATCCCATGGCCTGCTGTAGCTGAGCAAACCAAGCTACCAGAGTAACTGTGAGAAGCTCCCACGGCAATGACTCCCACATCTCCCAATTAAGGAACTCAGAAAAATATTGTTACCAGCAGCTGGCCTCAAGGACAAGGTCTACGTGACTGCTAATCACAAGGGGGGTTCTTTTCTTGCAAGTGGGGTTGTTTTCTTATAGTTGTTTGTCTGAGTGCTTTTGACCAATAATCTTGTGTGAAACACTGTCCACCCCTGTTAAGTTCTCTATAAAAGTTAGGCTATTCGGGCAATAAAATGGAGCATGATCTGACTCTGCTGGTGTCTGTCGTGCTTTCGGCCGTGCTTCCTGCAACATATGGCGCCCGAACAGGCTGAGACACGAACAGGCTGAGGCCGGGACATCGGAGCGGCGCCGGGAGACCCGAGGCACGCGGCAAGCCTACCACCGCATGGAGAGTGTAGGATAACCCGACTGAAAGCCCCGGGACAAACGGACACAACGACCAGCGTTCTGTGCCGTAAGCCAATTTATTGCTGCGTGACAGTATCTTATATAGTGTTAAAACGTCCCACCCAGGAACCCAGGACCCCTCCCACTGTGCTCGCAGGCACCCCAGACCCCTCCTTTTGTGCACGCAGGCACAACCCAGAATAATCCCACATCTCCCCCCTCTTTATGCAGTAATGTACCCCCTTTAACCCGTTACGCTAAGCGTGATTTAATCATAACTACTTAGAGACAAGTATCCGTCCCAGGAGCAAGCGGTGGCAATGGGAACCCTTCATGATTCTTGGTGAGAATGGTCAGCATGCTGCGATTCATTGTACTGCTTCTATCTATTTTTGCTTTAATACATGCATATACCAGCCCTATCACAATGAATACTATTACCAGTAGCAATATTGTTTGCAAAAGCGATTTAAGCCATCCTTCTAGCTGAAAGCCTAACCCCTCGAGAGTTGCCCCCAGCCAATTCTGTTCTGCGTCACGCTGCTCTTCTTTTATTTTGCCTTCTACCTGGGCTATTTGGGATATGTCACGTTCTACATCGGCAGTTACATTCGGAATGTGTATACAACAATGGCCAACCTTATCTTTAAGGTATCCACAGACGCCATGTTCCTTTAACAGAAGCATATCCAGGGCCAATCTATTCTGCAGGGTCATTCTTGTTGTGGCTTGTAACTGTATATTTAATTCCTTAAACCCCTTTTTGGTTATGTCGGCCAATCTATGTACTTGCCCCATCAAATTGTATATCAGCTCCCTGTTGTGGTAGGAGGCTATCGGGGCAAACAACGATTCTACCACCCATCCTATCTTTACCCCAGTGGACGGTTCCTGCCACTTATCATCTTCTTCACTTACTTCTCTTTTTGTCCTTCTCTCTATGAGAGGAGATTTTTTCCAAAGCGGGCAAAGGGTGGGCAATCCTAAAGTAATTTCTTTTACTGGGCCATCCAAACTTAAATGAGTCGTCCAAGTTCCATCACTGGCGGCCCACACAAAATGTCCCATGCTTCGTATAGTCGAGGATTTACAATTCACTAAGGTCTTTTCCCTACCAGTCTGGCTGGCTATATTCCAGTTGGTTATACTCATGTTAACTTGCAGACCTCTGCATGCACATCCGGTGGCTAGGGCTATCTTTACCGGGAGCAGAGATATTGTTTCTAAAGCAGTATCACAATTGAATATTTGTGTACAATTCCACCACGGGACTGCCTTTACCCTCTCCCGACTACTAGTTTCCCTCTGAGCCGTCTCGTATAGTAAACTCTGGTCATTATTCGTCCTTCCTACCCACTGCAAACACCAAGGAGTATTCCCTCCATATTGGTATTTCTGCAGTATACTTAATGCCCATGCTGACTCCCAACCCTCTAATCCTCCTATCTCGTTACCTTCTTTACACTTCCATATAACCTTTTCCTTTTGTCGTGTGCGTGGTGCATCATACTCACACATCCCTAGTCGTCCATCCTCGTTGTCTAGGTCCGTAAATATGTAATTTCTTTCCTTTTGACACCCAGAATAAAGGCGAATCTGACACTTTCTATAAAACCCTTCCAGCCTTTCTGTCTCTATGACTGTTTCTGATTCACATTGGATTGTTTTGTTTTTCTCAATCTGGGGTATCGGTGATGTGATTATACCCCAGGGTATAGAATCACCTGCAGATTTAGGTATAGGTAAACAAGCGGTCACTTGACTCACATTCTGCATTTTTGCGAAATCTCTAATTAACCCTATCATTAAATTTTCCTCTTGATTGCTCCTTGCTTGCTGTGTGTACTGAGCTGACCTTTTATCTCTCATTTTTAACACCAGAATTTTACAGACTCCTCGGGTTGCTCAAGGGCTGCGAGCAGTGCGATGCAGCCACAATAGCAGACCCATAGAGCACAAACCAAGTGTCGTGTTAGCTGGAATCACCTTCCAAGCACGTTCCTGAGAACAGAGCAACCAATAGGGGTTAGGTAAATGCCAATGAACAGAGTTCGAAACATGCGCGATGCGGACCGATTGGTAAGGGGCCGTCGCATGGCTATTTACAGTCCAAACATCCCCAAGGAAAAGTCCTCCGGTGCAGGAGCTTGGCCCGGTGGCCCCACCCACAACCAGGCCACCGACTGATTGCGCACCATGGTCTTAACTGTCCATGGCGGAATGGTCACATCCGCCGTTGTCCCCTTGTCCCAAATGTCAATGGAGCCGCACAATTGCGCCACTGGCAGATCAGTTTCTTTTCTGTCCTCCGTCGCATGTGTGGTGCCGTCCGATGACAAGTGTATTTCATGTGTCAGATTGATACCTGCCTGCACGGTGGCATGGATAAGGATGGTAGACAGCTTCCTTCCCTGGCAAGTAACAGGCGGGAACAACCCACGAAGTGTCCCGTTGAGTACTGGCTCAGCAGACCGTAGGTTGTAAGCGTATGGCGTTGGAAACAGCGGAGCGGTCCGGTAGCCCACAGCATACTCCTGCCAGTAGCCCCCGTACACTGCAGGGCACAAGGCGAGGATAAGCAGGAGTCGCTGTAAAGGGGAGAAAGTTACTTACTCATTTCCTGTTCCTTTAAGTCCACCTGCTCAGGGAACGGACGTACCCATCGGGCTGGAACCCATCGAACCCCCGATGGTAGTTGTACACAGGCGTAACCCCGCCCCATAACTAACAGGGGTACCGGATCCCGATTCCACGGCCCACCGTCCAGGCGTACCTGAACAACCCCTAAAGGTACACGTTCTGTCATAGCATGGTCTGCGGATCGACCTTCCAAATGATTTAAACTAAAAAGGGCCTTTAATAACAAAGCGTGTGGACAGGAATCTCCATAGCCAGTTGCCTCCATTCCCCCCTCTTTAAGGGCATCGAGGCGAGCTTTCAAAGTCAGATGAGTACGCTCAATAATGGCTTGCCCAGTAGAATTATGTGGAATACCCAAGATATGAGTGATGCCCCAGGTGCAACACCATTGGCCAAAGAGCCGACTAGTGTAGCCTGGACCATTATCTGTTTTTAGAGTGTGCGGGATACCCATGACCGCAACTGCAATGCGCAGGGCACAAATGCACTCTCGAGCTTTCTGTGCTGTGAGAGCAGTAGCCCACATCATACCACTACAGGTATCCACCACGATGTGGAGAAACCGGAAACGTCCGAAAGGCGCATATTCTGTAACGTCCATCTGCCACAGCTCGTTGGGGCGCAGTCCTCTCGGATTTACCCCAGACGGCAGAGGAGCAGGGTGACTACAGGCTGGACATGTGGCTATTATAGACCGTGCGTCAGCTAGCGGAATTTTAAATAGACGATGCAACGACAAAGCCGATTGGTGAAATTGGCGGTGCGACTGGGCAGCAGCTACGCGGGTATCGACAAGAGCGGGGTAGCATGCCAAGTCTGCTGCCGCATTACCCGCCGTAATGAAACCAGGTAACTGGGTATGGCTGTTGACATGCATTACAAAAACAGGTTGGCTACGCCGAGAAAGAGCATTATACAGGAGGACTGCAGTTTCAGTCCGTGGTGCAATGCAGGAACGGCAGAGGGTGGCAGAGCAAAAACAGTATTGGCTATCTGTTACAATATTCAAAGGCTCTGTGGGAAAAAGAGAGAGCGCGAGACAAATAGCAAGCATTTCAAGACGCTGTAAAGAAACAGAAGTGTTGCAGCGCACTTGGCCTTCCCATTCCGAGCCAGTCCACCACACCACAGCAAACTTGTGGGTGGAGCCAGCTGCATCAGTGAAAACAGTTCGAGCCTGCAATGGCTCTGGAGAGATCGGCAAAGCAGGGATTACATCAAGTACAGAAAATAGATTCGCATAAGGCGACTTTGGATACGCCTGCAAAGGATAAGGGTAAGCTGCAAGGGCAGTCTGCACCCGCATAGATTGTTGTAGAAGAGACACCAGGGCATTCGGCCGTAGTTCCACCGACAACAGGCGCGGTTTGCTGCCATCTATTGCACGTACCTTCGTTCGAGCCCACTCTATAGCGAGGGCAAGGAGTTCATCCCATTGTGGAAATGCAACGCGGGGCACAGACACATAGCCAAAAAGCAGTGGGCGCTGCAGCTGGCCCTGATGTAGAATAATAATAGCTCCCTGTACCTGCAGAAGGATGTGTGCAAGTAAGGGCCGCGTGGCATCGCGACGCCATAAGCCTTGCTTTTGGAGGCGTTGCATAAAGCGCTCTAATATGTGCTGATGTTGGGAAGACAGTTGGCGCGGGGCTGTCAGGTCAGTGTCGCCCCGTAACTGATCAGTAAATAATTGCATCTCATCAGGGGGCAGCGGAACAAATTGACGGAGCCACTGCAGGGCGCCAACCAACACTTGTAACTGATGCAAGTTAGTAACCGAATTCTCTGTGACTAACAATTTTTGAGGCCGCACGAGGCGTTCTGTAAGCTGAGTCCCCAGATATTTGTATGGAGCCACTAGCTGAGTTTTATCTTTCCCGATGGTCAGACCAAATCCCAGTAGAGCGGCCTCTATTTGATCGTACAGACCCGAAGGCAGCACGGGGGCAGCAAGCAGCAGGTCATCCATATAATGGACTACCAAAATAGTGGGGTGCTGCTGACGAACTGCCTCGAGGGCTTTGGCCACATACATCTGACAAATTGTAGGGGAATTCTTCATACCTTGAGGGAGGACAACCCATTCATACCGGGCTGTTGGCTGCATATTGTTCAACGATGGAATGGTTAGAGCAAAACGCTTGGTGTCATCGGGATGCAAAGGTATGCTGAAAAAACAATCCTTTAAATCTATAATCATACATTGCCAATCTCTAGGGATCATAGTAGGTAACGGCAACCCGGGCTGTAAGGGCCCCATGTCCTCCATCGAGGCCTTAACCGCACGTAAATCATGTAAAAAGCGCCATTTCCCAGATTTTTCTTAATTACAAATACAGGGGAATTCCAAGGGCTAGTTGACGGAACGAGATGTCCTTGTTGCACTTCTTGTTTGACGAGTTCATGCAGAGCGATAAGCTTTTCTTTTATGATGGGCCACTGGGCAACCCATATGGGGTCATCCGACCGCCATGTTAAACGCCAACAGGGGCGCGGCTCCCCAGTGGCCCCCTGTATAAAACCTGCTGTGAAGGTTCAATATGCAAGCGAGCTCCTGCTAATACTAATGCATCACGACCTAACAGAGATATAGGAATGGCTAGAACATAGGGTCTGAGAGGCCCCACCTCCCGCCGGACGCCAGCGTCATCCCAGCGAATCAATACTGGATGATGGCTACGATGACCTTCCACCAAACCACCCACCCCACTGACTGCTCGGGGCAGCGGATCTAGTGGCCACTGTTGAGGCCAGTGTGCGGCGGAAATGGAGGTGACATCTGCACCAGAATCCACTAAAAAGGTTATAGTGGCTACCGGTGGAAATGGATCCTTCACACCTTGAATAGCTACTCGGGCAGGCAAAGTTGGCCGAGAACCCATGTCAAAGCTAACTTGTATCAGGGGATAATTCACGCTAGAGAGTCCATCATCACTCTCGGCTATCAGAGGGAACACAGTGGGCTCAGCTGTGGCAGTCCGCAGCTGCACGGGAATCTCCACTCCTTGCTCCACTGCCCGTGAACCTGCAAGCCAAGCTTCTGTATTTACCAATCGTTTTCCGGCCCGAGACTGGACGGCGGACTTGTCCACCCCTGCTCGATGGGGGTTGGGACCCACGCTTGCGGCCGAGACGGTGGGTCCCTTTTCGTCCCGGCGTTGGCGTTTCCCGACTGCCCATCCCTTTTTCCCTCTTTCACTTCCCCTTTGCGTTGTGAGCACTCCCGAGCGCGGTGGCCAGACCGCCCACACACCCAACAACGAATACGGCTGACTTCGACCACAGGTTCCCTTTTCTCGGGACATTCACGAGCTACGTGACCACGCTGTCCGCAGCGAAAACAACCACCAGGATGTATCTGGAGGGCAAATGTCTGGAGGGCAGACGTGACTCCTGCCATCTGCTCGCTGAGAGCAGCAGCAAGAGGTTGCATCTCCTGAGCCTTGCCAAACGCACAGCCACGAGCGATCAGCTCGCCCGCGCTTGCTGAAGCCGGAAGCGCTGCAAGAGCAGCTTTGAATTCAGGCTGAGCTCCTGTCCTTAAGCATTCCCTCAAAACAACATCTTGTGCTTCCGGTGGTAAATTACTGCTGGCCACAGCTGTCTGCACCCTGTCTGCAAAACGCCCAAAATGTTCCTCAGGTTTTTGCCGAATATGCAGATAACTGGGAGTCGGGCTGACTACAGCATTCATCCGCTCTAATGCCCTACGACCCAAATCGGCGGCGGCAATAAGCACAGCTTGCGGCAGCAACAATTGTTCCTGAGGAGTATTCCACCGCCCTCGTCCCAACAACGCTTCCCCAGACATGCCATGTAAAGGATCCTGGGGGTTCGCCCATGCACGCGCCATTAACACTTCACCTTCCTCTTCTAGCAAAGACTCAAACATGGGTACCTGCGCTGCCGTCAGGCAGGCTCGGGCAACCTGCCGCCAGTCAAACATCAGGGGCCCTTGCAAAGCCACCGCATCCAACAAAACCTGTGTCTGTGGGCTAGAGAACCCACCCTCCTGTACAGCCTTTTTTAACTGTAGCAGCATCTTATAGTCTACCGGCTGCCACTGATGTCCCTGAGACCCTGCGAAAACAGGAAAACACCCTATCCGCACAGGACTTGGCGTTATTTCACAACCCGAGAGAAGACATTCTCTCGCACTAATAGTCCATTTTTCTCTTGCCTTTTGCACCTCCTCGCGGATGTGCATCAGCTGCCGCGGGGTAACCTGTCGAGGATCTCGAGACTCCTCATCTGTTGAACTCTCACTATCCACTCGTTCTCTCTCTCGGGGCATAGCACCCGACGGAACAGGAACGTGACACACGGACGATGGTAGGGGCTTCTCCGAAAAAGACTCCACCCGCGCTTCCCCCCCCTCCCGCTCTCCAGGGTCAAACACGGGGGGGACTGCATACAGCGGCGGCCGGAGGGAGCCCGAAAACGCCGGCGCTTGCCCAGATGCCACCCCTGCCCCTTCTGGACTCCCAGCAGGGAACAGAATAAGGGAGCCCTTCTTATTTACCCCCCAAAAGGACCCGTCTGATGAAGTATGTACTGTGCTCCCTTCCGCTGGAGGGGCACTGGGTGTTGCTATTCCTTCACGATCCAACCGAACTCGCAGGGGGGCCACAAAAGGTTTCCCACCCTCTTCTTTCTCCTGCTCCACATTATTTTTATCCCCCAATCGAGCCTCCTCCTTCACCTGCTCTGACCCTTCCTTTAGATTGTTTTTTATCGGCAGCTCCATAGGAGCTTGCTTATTCTCACTGTCCCCATCGGACAAAAGCATATGGTGCACAGTAGCCCACAGGCATGCCTCGTTGGCTACCTTTTCCAAAACCGCTCGCACCGACCCATAGGTTGGTAACAAAGTCAGCGCCTCTTTGTTCCTGATGCAGGCGCTATCAAATAAATCCCATCCCACCGTTTCTAAAACGGTCTGTCTCAGGCAATGGACAGGAGACTTTGCCAGATTCCAGCATGTCACCCAGAGCAAGAGGGACTGTACGTCCTTCTTTCGTAGTGTTATCCCTACTTCCTTGGCCAAGGATTTAACAGTACTCACCACCTCATCGACTCCAGGCCCCATGGCCACCCGCGTACCTAGCACGTACGCACCGCGCCTAACTCGCGCCGCGCCTAACTCGCGCCAACCGGTTGCACGTCGGGGTTCGTATCACGTCGGGGTCACCATATGTAGGATAACCCGACTGAAAGCCCCGGGACAAACGGACACAACGACCAGTGTTCTGTGCCGTAAGCCAATTTATTGCTGCGTGACAGTATCTTATATAGTGTTAAAACGTCCCACCCAGGAACCCAGGACCCCTCCCACTGTGCTCGCAGGCACCCCAGACCCCTCCTTTTGTGCACGCAGGCACAACCCAGAATAATCCCACAGAGAGAGCACTGACTGACGCTGCAGGGCTACGGCCAACTACGAGAGACAAGGACAGACCTGGCGGATGCTGGAACACCTGAGAGACGTTGAAGCACTCTACACACCGACCTGAACAAAGGAATCGCGGGGGGACGCGGGTAAAGGAATCGCGGGGGGATGCGGGAAACAGAATCGCGGAGGGACGCGGAAAAAGGAATTGTGGAGAGACGCGGAATCGCGGAGGGAAGCGGAATCATGGAGGGACGCGGAATCGCGGAGGGACGCGGAAAAAGGAATCGCGGAGGGACGCGGAAAAAGGAATCGCGGAGAGATGCGGAATCGCGGAGGGACGCGGAATCGCGGAGGGACGCAGAAAAAGGAATCGCGGAGGGACGCGGAATCGCGGAGGGATGTGGGAAACAGAATCGCGGAGGGACGCGGGAAATTGAAGTAATCGCGGGAAATTGAAGTAATCGTGGTGCGATGCGGGTCATCCGAGATCGAGTTGCTACGGGAGACCAGAAGCGTCAGTGAACAACGGCAGCCGACCCTCACCGTATGATGAGTCGGCACAGAGCAGAGGGGCGGACATCAGGACCCTGCAGCCTGTCTGACGGAACCATGGAAGCAGCGGTGGCTGTGCTGCTTCTCTCTAGCATTCTTTTTATAAGAGGTTTATCTTGCAATGCAAAAAAGACTATTTGTCCCCAGATCGGTGTTATAACTATTACTAATGATGACTTAGCTCTATTGCAGGGCAGGAGTGCAGAGACGCAGATTACACTGCCAAATGACCACCGGCAGGCTCTTTCACAAACAGCTTCTAGGGTTGCAGCTGGCACTGCCTGCAGCCGTATAGCAGACGTTACACTCTCTTTCCTAACTAGTACTCATGTGTCTCATCCATTTGTGGTGAATGGTCAGTGGCAAAAAGAAAAGGGGGAGAGTAAGGGGCGGCAAAGACAGAAACGGTACCAGGAGGATGCCACTGACACTAACAGCACGGGTAATAAGAGTAGCATAAGTGACACAGGTACGGGGCTGCGGTGGGCACTGCCGCGCTGTGGGGCATTCTGCCTGCTGCTCGCCCTCGCCTGCCTGTGCACTGCTGCCGACAGTGCTAGAGCAAAATGTGAAAACTGCTCAGATGGCAGTGATGAGAGTGCTTGTGTGAAGAAGACATGTGCTGAATCTGACTTTGTGTGCAACAGTGGTCAGCGTGTGCCAAACAGATGGCAGTGTGATGGGGATCCGGATTGTGAAGATGGGTCTGATGAGAGTGCTGATCTGTGTCATATGAGAACATGCCGTGTAAATGAAATCAGCTGTGGTCCTCAGTCAACCCAGTGTATCCCGGTGTCCTGGAAATGTGATGGTGAAAAAGACTGTGACAGAGATCCTGATTGCAAGGATGGATGTGATGAAATTAACTGCCCTTCTCAGACCGGCAGGCCAGACCAGTTCAGATGCGAAGATGGGAACTGTGTCCATGGGAGTAGGCAGTGCAGTGGTGTGAGAGACTGTCTGGATGGCACTGATGAAGCAAACTGTAACAATGTTATTCAGTGCTCTGGACCTGGCAAATTCAAGTGCAGAAGTGGAGAATGCATAGATATCAATAAAGTGTGTAACCAGCAGAGAGACTGCAAGGACTGGGGTGATGAGCCCCTGAAGGAATGCATCATAAATGAATATGACTGTCCAGCTGGGTTTGAGTTTGTAGACAAGAGAAACTGTGGAGATATTGATGAATGCCAAAACCCTAGTATCTGTAGTCAAATCTGTATCAACCTGAAAGGTGGCTACAAATGTGAATGTAGCCGTGGCTATCAGATGAATCCTGCTACAGGAACCTGGAAAGGGCCATACCGGTACAAAAACACAAATAACACCTGTGATTACAATGACGCTGCTAAGCAGGGTTTAGGGGTTTATGGCACGGATACAAGGGGTAACAACTACAGTGTTTGGAACAATTGTACAGCTTTGGCCTTACCTCCTGATGTTTTTCTGATTTGTGGGGATAGGGCCTGGCAAGGTATCCCTGCAAATGCTATCAGATGTCCATGTTACTTAGATAAACTCATTGTATTTGCTCCTAACTTGTTACAGTTGTGTGAGATCATCAGACATAAATGGGCATTGCTTGCACCGGATTGCAGTGATAATGTTGAATTGTGTGGGGTTGCAGCTAGAGCGGCATTGGCAATTTTAGTGCCTGGAGTAAAATCTGCGGCCGCACATAACAACTTAGAAAAATTGGTATGCTGGGCCGAGAAGCAAGCCTATGCCACGACAGAGATACTTGAGGAGATGTTACCAGATCAAAATAGTCTGCGACATCTGCTTTTACAGGATCAAGCTGCTATGGACATCTTGCTTTTGGCTCAAAGGCATGGGTGTGAGGACTTTGAGGGAATGTGCTGTTTAAACCTTTTTGATCATAATGAGTCAATTCACAAATTGATTACTTTCCTGAAAGAGCACATGAGAAAGATTCAATATGGTATCAATCCTTTCAATAAATGGTTCGCTGATTTGTTTGAAACAATGCATAGATGGTTACTGAGATTAGTCAAAGAGGGATTAAGGATTCTCTTTGCTTTGGTGTCAATCATCATTGCATGTGGTATTGTGATAAATGTGGTTAAAGGGTTGTAGTGGTTTAACCCGGCCGGCAGCTAAACACCACGCAGCCGTTCGCTCACCCTCCCCCCTCCCTCTCTGGGACGGGGGAGAGAAATGGAAAGTGAAGCCCGTGAGTTGAGATAAAGACAGTTTAATAAGACAGAAAAATAATAATAACAAAAATAATAATAACAAAATATTATTGTGATTATAATAATACAATGGTGATACAAATGGTGTTGTTGTTATAATAATAATACAATGGTGATAATAGGAAAGTAATAATAATATGTACAAACAAGTGATGCACAATGCAATTGCTCACCACTCGCTGACCGATGCCCAGCCTAACCCTGAGCAGTCCGGCCCCCTCCCCCCGGCTAGCCACCCCTATATATTGTTTAGCATGACGTCAGATGGTATGGAATACCCCTTTGGCTAGTTTGGGTCACCTGTCCTGGGTCTGTCCCCTCCCAGCTCTTACTGCACCCCCAGCCTGCCCGTTGGCAGGACAGAACAAAAGGCTGAGATGTCCTTGGCTTGGTATAAGCACTGCTCTGCAACAATTAAAACATCGGGGTGTTATCAGCACTCTTCTCATCCTAAGCCAAAACACAGCATTCCACCAGCTACTAGGAAGAAAATTAATTCTGTTCTAACTGAAACCAGGACATCTATCCACCCCTTATTCCATACCATTTATGTCATGCTCAGGTTACACTCTTTTCCATACATTCTAATTAGTCACCTACAGTAGTCATGGTAGTGATAACATACAGTATTATATAGTAATTAACATGGTACAATTCAGTTCATGGGCTATTCTCACCCAGTATTAAATCTCCTTGAGGTACACACCAGACCTCTTCGTTCTTTTGCATCACCCACCAAGTGCATCCAGGTCCCTGAGCAAAGGCAATTCCAGGAATGCGTTTGCCTTTTCCTGAGGCAGGAGTAGCCCAGACTGTTTTACCCAGCATATTTCTTACATGCACTACAGGGACTTTATCCCCATCTACAGTACGTAACAGGTTTGATTGGGCAGGTCCAGCTCGGTTGGCAGATCCCCTAGTATTGACTAACCAGGTGGCCTTTGCCAAATGCGTATCCTGATTTTTGAACGTCCCAGCACCCATTGCTTTCAATGTAGTCTTTAACAGTCCGTTGTATCGTTCAACTTTCCCGGAGGCTGGTGCATGATAGGGGATGTGATACACCCACTCAATACCATGTTCTTTGGCCCAAGTGTCTATAAGGTTGTTTCGGAAGTGAGTCCCATTGTCTGACTCTATTCTTTCTGGGGTGCCATGTCGCCATAGGACTTGCTTTTCAAGGCCCAGGATAGTGTTCCGGGCAGTGGCATGAGGCACAGGATATGTTTCCGGCCATCCGGTGGTTGCTTCCACCATTGTAAGTACGTGGCGCTTGCCATTGCGAGTTTGAGGGAGTGTGATGTAATCAATCTGCCAGGCCTCTCCATATTTATATTTCAGCCATCGTCCTCCATACCAAAGAGGCTTTGACCGTTTGGCTTGCTTGATTGCAGCACATGTTTCACAGTCATGAATAACCTGTGCTATAGTGTCCATGGTCATGTCCACCCCTCGATCACGAGCCCACCTGTATGTTGCATCTCTACCTTGATGGCCTGAGGTGTCATGGGCCCATCGGGCTATAAATAATTCACCTTTATGCTGCCAATCCAGGTCCACCTGAGCTACTTCAATCTTAGCAGCCTGATCCACCTGCTGGTTGTTTTGATGTTCTTCAGTAGCCCGATTCTTGGGCACATGAGCATCTACGTGGCGTACTTTCACAGCCAGGTTCTCTACCCGAGCAGCAATATCTTGCCACAATGCAGCAGCCCAGATGGGTTTGCCCCTACGCTGCCAGTTGTTTTGCTTCCATTGCTGTAACCATCCCCACAGGGCATTTGCTACCATCCATGAATCGGTGTAGAGATAGAGAACTGGCCATTTTTCTCGTTCAGCAATGTCTAAAGCCAGCTGAATGGCTTTCACTTCTGCAAACTGACTCGATTCAGCTTCTCCTTCAGCAGCTTCTGCAACTTAATGTTTAGGACTCCATACAGCAGCCTTCCATCTCCGATGCTTTCCCACAATATGACAGGACCCATCAGTGAACAGGGAATATTTCTTTTCATTCTCTGGTAACTGGTTGTGCAGTG